ACAGGATAGGTTTTATTTCCCATTTTACTTTTCTCAGAACAATTAGTTTTTTAATTTTAATCATTTTTATGATTGAATTGAATAATTTACTGTATCATGATAATGTAATAATAAAGCTGGCAAGGCTCTTTCTCAACTTTCCTGACACCTGAACAGAAAGTTAAGGAAAGAAGAAAGTTTGATAAACAAAAAAATATCCATAAACCCAATTTTTAGATTGATACCAAACAACTACTGAATCATACAGGGCTATATTAATACTACTAATAACTAATTAAATAAATTAATTAAAGCCAAATTACTTGATATTTAACTGGTAATTAGTAGCATTAATACAGTGCAATGCAATTCAGAAGTCTGATAATTTCGATTATACAACAGATATAAAATTTAAACAAATTTTGTTTAAATTACTTCTTTTATATCAGATATAAAATTTAAACAAATTTTGTTTAAATTTTATATCTGATATAAAAGAAGTAATTATGTGAATCATGATATATTTTTTTAAATAGAGAAAGTTATTTAAATTTAAACAACACAAAGACACTGGCTCAAAGTTAATATTGTGTGGTGCCATCAGTTACAAGAATTTATTAAAAAAGAATTTTTATATTATTAATTATTATTCTTCTTTAGGTGTCTTCTCCTGCCAGGATATTGACAACCATTTCACTCCATCATGATCTATCTTGTGCTTCTCGAGCATTCTTCATACGTTAAGTATGTTCAATTCCTGATGATGTTGAACCAGTTCATTCTTGGCCTACCCGTGCCTCTTTGCCCTTCAATCATTCCCTCCAGTAATAGTTTTTGTAGGCTTTGGTGTTATAGTACATATCCCAGATAACTCACCTTTTTTTTTCCCTTACTACTTCTAGTAAAATTCTTTTCTGATTTGAGGTTTCCAGGATATCTTCATTTGTTCTTCTTGCCCTACAAGAAACTCTTGGCATTCTTCAAATCATCCACATTTCAAATGCCTTTACTTTCTTTTCATTATTTGCATTCATTGTCCAACTCTCTTCTCCATAAAGCAGGGTTGACCAAACATATCATTTTGCCAACCTAACTCTTGTTTGTATACTAATCTCCCTTGACATCAACACTTGTTTCATGTTTGTAAATGCAGTCCTTGCAATTCCGATCCTTCTTCCAATTTCCTTATCATTCCTTCCGTCATCTGTAATGATATGTACCACATAGACATAACTTTTGACGTGCTCCAGTTTACTGTCTCCGATTTTAATATTTACTTTTTTGGAGTTTCTTTCTCATTGGAAATGACCATAGTTTTGGTCTTTTTGCAGTTCAGTGTTAGTCCGAATTGATTGCTCAATTTTGATATTTCCTCTATCAGCATCATTAGATAACATTCATTTTCTGCTAATAGCACAGTGTCACTGGCATACCTAAGATTATTGAAATTTCCACCCCTTATGTTTACTCCTTTTAGATCTTTCACCTGACTGAAAATTCTTTCTTTATAAAGATTGAACAAAATCAGAGACAGCACACAACCCTGCCTAACTCCTTTTTGTATCGGGAAGCTTTGCGACAATTCTTCGCCAATCCTTATAGCAGCTATCTATTTCCAGTATAAATTGGTAAGTAATGTGACATCCTTTCCATCCATATCATTTTTCTAATAGACATTTAATAAGGTAATCTTTGTATATCTATAAAACAATATATTCTTCTGTTTTTCCTTATATTTTTCAATATTAATTATTATAAGAAAGCAAAAGGCTTAATTAAAAAAACTAAGTGCCAATAACAAATACTGTAAATCAAAAACCCCAGTGAATAACAGAAAAAATTTATTGATGAAACTAACATTTTCAACATTGAGATATTTTGGAGTTTTTGATACTAAATATATCCAGTATTTAAGGTGAATTTTGTTTTAACAAACAAAATTTTCATTAAGTTCGACTCCACTTAAGTTATGACACACGACCTCCTCCTATTTCTATAATCTTCAGTTGTTACATACTGTATGTTACATTTGTAATTCAAGTATTATTTACAGAATACATTCATAAAGTTTATTAAACAAGAATGTCATCATCATTATTCTTACTTTTGTTGGGCATTTTAACTGATTCATTTACAGAAAGCCGTTTATGAAGTTCAAGTCATAAATGTCAGTGCAGTTGTATCTAAATTTTTTTCTCAAAATGCTTCACATAGGCAATATTTGTGTCATTTATTTGTTCGAACGAATAAAGATATACCAATTTTTCTAGACAAACATCACTATTTCTTCATGCCTCTTCCCTTTTTTGTTTGAAACAAAAATTGGACAGATGCCTTGAGTGGAACTAGTGCTTTATGATCTTCTCATTAGCATTTTCTTAACTTGTTCAATTTTATGTACATAACCATATATAAAGACAACGTTGTACTCTGTATGTTGTGTAAACTTAAAAGTTGCAATTTTCCTTTAGTAGTAATATCAAAAGTAAAAATGAGATTTAACTAGAGTTGAAAGTATTTTTATATCTGGTTAAATCTGTTTTATTTCCTTGCTCCAGTTCAACGGTTAGGCCGAAAGGGTTGTTGTTGACAGTTCTGACGAAAGATGTCATGTCGGGGACTTCTCTCCATACGATAAGAATGTCGTCCACGTATCTTTATGTATTTCCTGATTTATAAAAGATACGTGGACGACATTCTTATTGTATGGAGAAAAGTCCCCGACATGACATCTGTTTTATTTCCACCTCTATATCATCTTTTGTATGGAAACTTCAACTTATCTTTATATGTTCTATACTATCGAATGAAAAATATAAATTTCAATTGAAAAAAACCATTACACTAAAATAAATATTTCATAAAATATTTTAAATCATCATTAATATTTCAAAATGTAATTGTCTTAAAACATTCTATGCACACTTCTAATTCGGCAACCGATTATTAGTTCAGTGAAAATATTTTTACAGCAGTTTATTAATAATTACTTAGTGCTTTAACATTTCTTCCAGCAATTATTTTCTTTGAAAATAGGTAATTTTAAGAAAACTGCCAGAAGTGTTAAAGTCTTATGTAATTATTGATTATCTCCTTCCAGCTTCTGTGAATGTTTGGATAAAATATAGTTTGTAACATTCTTCCAGTTAATTAGAATTTGTATTAAAATTTAAAAAATTAACAATTTCTAATATTGGAAATTTTGAAGGTTCATTTAAAAATATATTTTGAATGAACCTCCACTTCTTACAAATGATATATATGTATATATATATAATTTTTATATTCATATAAAAAACAATGTTTTTAAAGCTGGATAGTGTATCTATTGTTTCAGTCAGTAATAGCATTAGCATTTTCATTCTGGGAGGGCAGAGGTGGACAGACACACAGAAAAAGTTTAATAAGATTGTAATTACTTGGCAAACAGTAAGTTCATATTTAAAGAAACCTCCAATAAGGATCAATATAGGTAGATTTGAAATCAATTATTTCTTGGTGGGCTGGTGCTCACCCTCATCTCACCCTAGTCATCCACGAAATAAAGTAAAATTTAATGATATTCAATTAATTGAATTTCAAGTGAATACTGTTAAATTTCATTTTATTTCATTTCAATTTAAATGATATTCTAGTGTTTTGATAAAGTTGTTAAAACTTTTTGGATACCTTTGTTTGGAAACTAATAAATAGCAGTTTTGAAAATGTTTAATAGATAAATTTTTTAAACGAAATTTTTAATGAACAACAATATTACTTCTGGCTGATACATTTTGACTACATCATAAAATTTACATTTTAGTAATTTTACTCTACTATTTTACTAATTTGTTTTGTAAATTCAATTTTACACAATATATTCTGTTAATTGTTCTAATTTATGTAATTACAACAAAACATTAATCAAAGCATCTCCAACGAATTCATTCCAAATTTCAAAAGACGGAAGAAAATAGAGTCACCGTTCATCCCCACATGCTTCTCATTTAATTACATAACACATTCTCAAGATCACACATCCCACAACATTAGCAATCTACTTTTCTGTATCAAGCAAGATAAATTTATAACATTATTTAATTTCCATTTTGTAATTTAATCTCCGACACACCCGTCTAATTCCTAATATTCAGAACGTATAACATTTTAACCGACTACTCAAAACCGGGTACAAGCTCAATAAAGCAAATGAAACCAATCTCCGACAGGAGTCGGTTTCATTTGCTTTATTGAGGTTTCAAAACGCCGACTCGGTTTAAAATTGCACCAAAGATCAGTTTCGTTGGCTCGTATTTTCTCGTACAAATTCGAGACCAGTTTTCACGGCGAAGCAGCCGGAAGAAAATTTTCAAAGGCGTCGAACCACGTCACAATTGCCAAATATTTAAATTTTGTAAATATGGAAAAACAACACATACAAAGGAAGAGAGAAATTACACGCTAACCAAAAATACATCACATTTAATAGCGGAACACGTCCGACAATTTTACAGAAGGAATAGATTAGTTCGGGTACGGCACTCGGACGAGGAGCGGCGTCGATCGGTCTCTCGACAACAGAAAGAGCAGACTAGGGTGGAAAAATTTAGAATTTTGCAGGGAAATTGTGGCGGACACGGTTTGCAAGTATCAAAACGAGATTTAAAGTGCCAAGACTTTAGCGGTACTCAAAGTTTGGAAAATCTTAATGTAACAAAGCACGAACTTAAAAGCCAAACAGATGAAGATGAACCGTGGTGTAAAGTTTGCATTGAAAAATCACAACCAGTTGAATCAGGCAGACAGAGAGAGAGAGAGAGAGAGGAATGCGATAAGATTCTTATCTTGTACGAAACCAATGAAATTTTTGCCGTTAATTTTGTTTTTAATTGATAAATTGGACGGAAAGAGAAAGGAACACCTCCCAATTTTCAAGTACAAATGCTCGGTAAACGATGTCGTGTGTTGATAAACGGTGGGTTACTTACAGACTCGCATAACCAGTTAAATAATAACAAATGGCGTGCTTTCGAGTTACTTACCCATCGTTTGATTTCTCCAAAACTATTTTCTCTCGATTTAGAAAAAAACAAAACCTTCCGATAACTAATATTTAATTTTTTTTCCCCACATTCGCAGCGAGACGTGTCGCTGACCCAGTGCGCATGCGCAGATGCGTTCCTACACCGGTGACGATGCCGGCCTGGCTGGCCCTCTATCGATGGAAAACATAGAAAAAAAAAATATATTAAAAAAATTAATTTTTAAAATTTATTATTGTTGTTGTATTTTAAGATTGGTTTTGTATAGATACAGTTAATTACAAATAATTAGGAAAAGTAATAATGTTAAGGTTTAATGGAGATTCCGCCCTTCGGAAATATGCAAATTAAGATTTTTCATTTTGACTCTTCCCGTCCTGTGGGCGTTTACAGGGTTTTTAGCCTGCCCTTCGTGGATTCGTTCTCGTAGGCCCAGCTGTCGAGTGTTTCGCTGCTATGGTCTAAAACCGTTTAAGACCAGAACGGCTGCAAATTGAAAATAATTAGACTTAAAACTAATTTTTCATTTGTAATATATATATATATATATATACAGTAGAGCGTCGATTTTCCGAATCAATTGGGGATTGGGGTTGTCCGGATAACTGATATTTCGGATAACTGATTTACGTACGAAAAAATAGTTTAACGTATCCGATTTCAAAATTTTTCTCCGTTGCGTGTCGCTTCGCGTTGAATTTNACTTATTTTAATTTTTCTACATAGTAAGTTTATCTACAATCTATGATACTGTATTTCCATTTGCGGCAGCGAGCCGTAGTTTGGTGATCCCAGAATTACACGACTTACGGTGCTATAGAACTGGGTAAGATTCAACACGCCTGTACGCATAACGAGGTCCGAACCAAAAGGTGAGATTCTGGTTTAGGACCCACCAGTGGCCGAGCGATCTTCGTATCCTGAACAATGGGAGTTCGGTCGTGGGTTCGCGCCTCGCTCGGACGGGTTGGCCACGTGTTTTCCGGGTTTTCTCCACGTCTGTAACACCTAAATAGGGACCACTTTCCCTTAAAAAGATCTCCTGGAACCATCTTTTGTCTTGTGTTTTACAGTATATCTACTACATCTGCAAAAGGCTTTGCTGTGTCTTCTGCTACTGGTAAAAAGAAGGGAAAGGTTATTACTCAACGAGAAACTTAATTCCTTTCAAACCTTTTTCGTTTTCTGTTGATCGTTACGTTCTAAATTGTGGCAAAGATCTCATATATGTATTGTACTGTACGTTGGATTCGGATACCGGCCGGCCTGCGATTTACAGTCGTTATTCTTATAATTATCGTACGAATATGAACGGAAAAGTTTTAATTTTTTATTGATAAACTTATCCGAGTTTCTATTCATCGCCAGTAACGAAAGTTAATATTTAACTAATAGAAAGCGATTAAATAATTCCCGAATCGAGCCTTGGAAATCCGCGGTCGTGACAAGAAATATTTTAAATTCCAGTAGTACCAGTACCAGTTCACTTCAAACTGTGTTCTAGCGAACGTCTCTGTACTTTACGTAAACTATTTGTAATTAATTATTTATCATTGCTATACATGCTAACTACTTAGTATGCCCCGATGCCTGCATTGGGCCTTTCAACTGGTATCGAAGGACAAGATAAATTAACTCGAACACCGACGATTTCATGAAAACGAGAAGATTACTAGCTAATGAGACCGGCGTTGCTTGGCCAAAAAATAAGATTATCTCTTACTTTTAGTCCTATCGTATTATAGTATTTCCGTAATCGTAGTATTTACGTAAGGGTTTAACACACCGAGTGCCCAATCTAACACATTTTAAAAATTCTTTAAATTCTGTACAGCAGAAAAATAAAGAATTTTTAAAATGTGTTAGATCCGTCAGGCGGTGTGATGAACCCTTACCTAAGATAATCTTTTTAGTTATATAAATTAAATACTACAATATAACAAATATTAAAACGAAAACCATATAAAGAGATCGATTACTGTACTTCAGCCTAGAAATTAGATAGGACTCTATTGGTAACAGAAAAAGTATGAAGTAGGGAGAAAATACTACATCATCCACGCAAGCAAGTGCTATGTATTACCTGTCGCAGTAATGGCGCATCTATTTCGAGCTATAGTGTTGTCGCAGTAATTCATTAAATATTTATATATTTTAAGTTATAATACAGCATAGTTTAATGTACATAATTTTATAAATAACACATGCCTTGAGCTGAAATCTTAAGTAAAATTCTAGATATTTTAAAACAGAATACAGCATAGTTTAATGTACATAATTTTATAAATAACACATGCCTTGAGCTGAAATCTTAAGTAAAATTCTAGTAAAGTTTGTCTTTTGTTTTTATAACAAAGTTTAACTCGGCATATAATTAAATTCTAACGAAGCATAAGAGATATAATTTATTGATTAATTAGTTTTAACGAAATGAAATTTATATTATGACTATACGAAAAATTAAGTTAACATTCGCGTTATAAAAAAATAATAATAAAGTAAAGAAAGAAAAATCAATTTGTTAATTACATTTAAGAAATTATAATTAATTAATTAATGTAATAACAACTCTTAAAAAGTTTTTCTCCTCCTATTTTTTTCTAATTGTAGAAGCATTTATTTATCTCAACTGGTAGATCGCGATACTCCAGAATAATACAAATGTACGAAATGAGAATGGAAAGTAGAAAAGGTTGAAGAATTTTCGAATTTTTGTAATTTTAATTGACATTTTTTTATATAGGAGGTCTCCAAACGCGTAGATTTACAAAAAACTTGGAGGGTCAAGTTTGACACGATTTCTTTTCCGTTTTATATACTCGTACATAACAAGGTGGGATGTAAAAAGGAGTCGGAGTCGGCGAATTTNGAACACAAAATATATACAATAAAGAACACAATTAACACAGGTTACATTAATATCCCGACAAGATTACAAAAACAAATACATAAATTCGCGTGAGGCTCCTAATTCCAGTGCCATGCGGACTGGCTAGAAAGGTACAAAAGCCCTTAAGGGGGTTGAGCGGGTAGGAGAACAGCCGCGCAGGTTAGGCACCAACAACCCAGTACAAACAGGAACCGATGGGGCCGAGGGAACAGAAATTGGCCCAAACCCGCGTTGGGAGACGCGGATGTGAAGTACAACATGATCCAAGTTAGAATTACAGTATTTGAACGTAACTGCCGAGTTTCGTAGCAATTAGTCGAACGGCCTAGGCGTCGACTAATCCCGGGTCTCCCGAAGCAGTAGGCTGCCACCTTAACTGATCGACCATCTGTCCTAACAAGAGGAAAGGTCGTGTATCGTATCTCGGCTGAAGTCGGATTTTATTAAAATAGCCGAGATACGATACACATTCAATATAGCACACCAAATAGACAAAAATTAAACACAACCGACATATTTATTTAGCAATACATAAACACGAAGCTGGTAATGGCTTCCCTTAGAAACTTTATTGTAAGAAACTACACTGAAACTTCCATTAAAAATTTCAGGTACTTACACACAAAGCGCTCCGATATCCAAAGTGGCATAAAGTCGCAGAATTTTTTATTTCACTGATTTTCCTAAAATTTATATTACTGTTAGATGCAAAAATTAGATTGGACAAATTTTGACATTTTTACTTACACTTATTTTAATTTTTCTACATAGTAAGTTTATCTACAATCTATGATACTGTATTTCCATTTGCGGCAGCGAGCCGTAGTTTGGTGATCCCAGAATTACACGACTTACGGTGCTATAGAACTGGGTAAGATTCAACACGCCTGTACGCATAACGAGGTCCGAACCAAAAGGTGAGATTCTGGTTTAGGACCCACCAGTGGCCGAGCGATCTTCGTATCCTGAACAATGGGAGTTCGGTCGTGGGTTCGCGCCTCGCTCGGACGGGTTGGCCACGTGTTTTCCGGGTTTTCTCCACGTCTGTAACACCTAAATAGGGACCACTTTCCCTTAAAAAGATCTCCTGGAAGGCATCCCCTAGGCAGATCACCCAAGTGTTGCGTTGCTATAACTAAACTAAACGAACTGAGTTAGGTTATCAAGGTCAGTTATAATTCTTGAAGTTCCTCCTGGTGGCGACTTATAGACTTATGACCAATGATGTCGCCACAGTTCTGTTAAAGTCTTACATCTGCCCTTGCTCATAATAACGAATAAAAATGAATAACGTTTTCGTTGAGTGATTTAAAATATTTAAAATGTCCAGATAACACTTTGTTTTTATTACTAATACATGACGTACTGTAAAATTCCTAGGTTTTCCGCTATGCTTTGCTGGCGCTCGATACGCTGACAGACTGCCCATTTTTTCAGTTGTATATAGTAGACTAGTTGCGGTACCCGTCGTTGAAGAGATACATATTTCGTGAAATATTTACTTACCTAGAGTATATCTGCAGAAATGTTTCTTACACATTTATAATATTTCCATTACAGACGTTGCATATTTTGTAGCTAAACTTGTCGAATTACCTCCTGATATACAACATTTCGTGTTTTATCATCAGGACAGAAATGAACATCGATTTGCAGCTACCAACACGTAAGCGCGGAAAATAGATTTGGCCAAAAGAAGGCACTTCGGAGCTTTTTTGAGCCAAGGAATCACAGTACTCCTCGTACGCTCAGAGGCATTGTCGGAGACTGGCAAAACTAAGCCTAGCCTGTATCACACACAGGTTCTCCGAATCTCTAGACTGTTCCTTGAAGATCGGCCAAGGATTTGAAGATCGGTTTTGTTTCCGAAAAGGCATAATCTTCGCTTACGCAAGTACAGTCAGGCCTAACGAATCACCAACGCAATACGTAAGGGTTTGAAAAACCGCCATATATACAGTACATGTAGTGCCATCTAGCGTGATGACGTCACTTTTTTAATGTCTAAAAGATTTTGCTAATTAACTAATTATTATTTAATACTAGTTTTTTGAATATAATAGTAAATTTCAATATAATACACTTTTCTTATAGACAGTCCCTTGACCGGAAGTACTAATTTATTTGTCGCCATCTAGTGTAGAGAAGGACAAATAGACAGACAGAAGAATCCGTTACAGTTTAAGTAATTTAAGTAATGTAGATTTTGAGCGGATGTGTAACTAGTTATTATGTGCTTTGTCAATTGTGTTAAAGGGCCCAAACCGCATTCTTGACGACCCTGTTTTTTATCAAAAGATTTTAGTGCAGTTCTACGAGTTTATTCTCGAGTTCGTTACAATAGGTTTACTCGTTTGTTTTTGTTATTGTTCCTGGACTTATACGGTAAGAAGAGTTTAAGATGGAGAATAACACTACGTCATAATTATCCCTGTTACACTTAAAAAACTAGTTTTTACTGAGGGTAGAAACTTATTCTTGTGTTACTGTTACAAGCATGCCCTTTAAAGCCGAAACTCCTTTATGTAATAAAGTAGATTTTCCAAATCTAAAAGCGATGTCTTTCAATTTTGTTTTCTTTAGTTTCTAATTCGAATTCTATTTGCTTGTCTGTTTAATTTTATTTCGAGATGCTACGGCCACGGGCCTTTTTCGACTATCTAAAAGACTGTTATTAGCAATTACTTAACTATACTATTTACTAACTGTAATATGAATATATTCATTAATTATGATATTATCAAAAATATCTTTCAATCATCATGATACAAATATCACACGTTTAATTCCTCCTATCTTATTTATTATCTATATACATTAAATACTTAACTGGGCGAATTTAGCGCCCGTACAACTTGCCGTCTGGATGTCTTCTATCTGTTTACGAAATTATTTTTTAAATTTTAAACATTGTTCGCGTTTGCATAAAGTACAGTTTTACGAATAACAATAAGTTTTCAGTTTTTGTCTAATTTTATTTGTTTCATTTGTTAATTTCTTCCAATACAAAACATTCAATACTTAAATTCATTTCTTCTTTATGGGGTACCGGTATAATTATGTAAATTATCGTTTAATGAAATATTAATTACATTTTAATGATTTCAAATTTTTAATTTGTAATTTTTGGTGATTTATATTGCAATAAAGAATTTCCTTTACCCACAGACCACTAAGAAAACTAACTAAACATCTGTTTCCTATAAGATGTCGATTTAATATTAGACACAGAAACGAAAATAATACGAATGCAAAAACATTCAGAACAGTAGTTATTACCGTAAAGCTAGTTATTTTAGTTATTACCGTAAAGCAAATTTCTGCCACAATACATATTTACTATTGGAATTATATTCTGGATTAACATTTTCTGACTAAATTCATTAACAAATCTTGCATTAAATTATTTCAGTTAAAGCCATTTACCGTTCTTTAATACATTAAAATTCAATTCATTTCGGGAATTAAACCATTGTAAATATTTCTAAAAATATTATCTCAAAAAACTTCCGATTATCTTTAGGTAATGTTTATCATAGATAAATTTAACAGTTAAACTCACAAATGTTTACATATTAGCAATTTTATGTTTTACTTGATGTGCGAAAATACTACTTGACTCAATGTCTCTAAGAACAGAATTAATTAAATAATAAACATAACACCGGATCTGTAAAAGACGGATATAGGCTTGAAGACAATCCACTATTTTATAGTTTTGTTTGTTCGACCCTTTCTTTAGCGTAATATTTCTCTTTGGCAATATTGTATAATTCATTCATTGAAGTTACTCCCGTCTTCTTTACCAAATTATAAAATATACCATTTGCGTTCTTCAGTAATGCATACGGGGAGTCAAATTCTTTTAATTTTCCTGTATCTAGTACCTAAAATTTTTAAATTAATAATTAGTAACACGTATTTATTCTTATATTATTAAACAGAGAAATCTTACCAGAACCCTATCCGAATCGATAATTGTATGTAATCTGTGGGCTATTGTCAACACAGTACAAGACTCGAATCTCTCTCGAATTACTTTCTGTAGACAGGAATCGGTTCTTGGCAGAAAATAAATAAAACATACGTCATGGTTGAAAATATTAATACCAGTATATAAAACACAAAACACGTATTGGAAATGGTAAAATTTACTTCAAAATAGAAAGATTTTTACAATCTCAGACCAATTATCATATCCGTGTTGTATACTTGTGTGAGATCCATGATTTTAGGGATATTAAAATCCATTTTCAAAAAAATGTTTAGATAACATCCATTGTCGCGATAGTTAGGAAAAAACATCGCATCAAATACGGATGGAATGACGTTCACTGTCAACAAATAGATGAGAATTTTAACAGTCAGTTGCGAAATGACAACATCCGATTGTGAAAGGAGAGTTAAGTAAACGTCAATGAATGTCATCGCGGAACCGGCACCTGTAAAAGCAACATTTGTATTCTAAACAACTGCCGATCACATGATCAGTTATCCAGGAAAAAGGCATCAAAAGACGACGCGTCGACAGTTCCGGGCGTTTGACTGTAGGAAGTCCCATAGAGGCTACGTTAGTGCTAAAAAGTTCATCCATCGAAGAGTTAGAAGGAGCGCTATATGCATCGACTAGGGATTGCAATTGCTGGATCACTCATTCAGCAATCCAGCTGCGGATCCGCAAATACTCAATTAACTTTCTAAACAATGACGCAAAAGTCTACGTTGTCGGTGTTGCCGCGTTTCTACGTGCGCTATCGCTCGGCAGCGAGAGCGACGTTGCCGTTCAGTGAGGCACGTGCTACACCCCCTCTCTACCATGCACTGCTTGCCCTTTTACCTCTGCTGATGTAATTGCCAGTTGACTTTCCACTCTCGCTAAATAAAGTGTCTTCGCGCTAAATAAAATAAGTAACTCTTCTCCTAGTCCTGGTGCATAATTCTAGTTTACGGTCAGTTGTGACGTCAGTGAATCACGTGACGGAACGGTCTCAGTTTAAGCTTATGGAAAGCTGCAGCCTCGCGGCATGTCCACGAAACCTAACCTATAAACTGGCCGTAAAAGCTCTCTGTAGAAGAGAGTCGAGTTTGATAACTGCTGACAACAAACCTGAAATTTGTCTTAGACAAACTAAAAAGCCAGGACACAAGCGCAAAAGAATCAGAGAAAGGCGTCTTACCGAGGCCACAGAAATGCTGATTTACATACAGAACCCGAAGAAGTATGACCAAAAAGTTAGAAAACTTTATCTTTCACATGCCGAAAAAAATGTAATGCGCCAGGAAATGAAAAATATGCTGAATCGAGTAAATACATATGTAGTGGAACCAGCAGCAATGACAGAGGATATTATGGAAGTGGAAAACGACGATCCAGATAACCCACATTCCTTGAATTTCACATTGAAACAAAAATCGGAGATCCAACTAAAGCGTGAGAAAGAAAACTTCATGAAACGGAAAGAAACTAGTACCGAGAAGGATTATGATAAGTTACAAGGGTAAGCTGAAAAGTAATGCACACATGCTTGTAGAACACGAACAAAAACAAATATCAAGATCGGGCAAAAAGTACATTAAAGTACTATTCTTAAGCTTCAAAATCATATATTTATTATTCAATATAGTCACCGTTAAGGCTAACACATTTATCCCAATGTATAACAAGTTTTTTCATTCCGTCACTGAAAAATTCTTCCGACTTTTCTCGAATCCAGGACTTGACAGCTGCCTTCACCTCATCGTCCGAGGTGTAATGATTACACTTGACGTGTCTCTTGAGTAGAGGAAAAAAAAATAAAAATCGCAAGGCGCAAGATCAGGGAAATAAGGAGGGCATGGAATCGGTTCAAACTTCAGGTTTCGCAGAGCCTCTTCAGTTGCCCGCTAGGTGTGTGGACGAGCGTTGTCATGTCGCAAGATTATTGGCACCAGGTGATTATTTCTGTTAGAGGCAGCCTGGCGCCTCTAACACAAATGGTAATTTTTATGCTCTAACACAAATGGCAATTTTAGAAGGCAATTTTTATTTTTTTCCCTCTACTCAAGAGAGACCTCAAGGGTAATCATTACACCTCGGACGATGAGGTGAAGGCAGCTGTCAAGTCCTGGATTCGAGAAAAGTCGGAAGAATTTTGCAGTGCGGAATGAAAAAACTTGTCACACGTTGGGAGAAATGTGTTAGCCTTAACGGTGACTATGTTTAAAAATAAATACAGTCGACCCCCCTATAACACTGTTGATAATTCCGTTTTATATGATTTCCGTGTTGTACCAGTCACTTAAATTTTACAAATACGTGTGCCGGGCTGTGAACGGCTCACGTATTTGTAAAATCTAAATGACTCGTACAACATGGAGTTCATATAAAACGGAATTATCAACAGTGTTATAGGGGGCCGACTGTATATGATTTTGAAGCTTAAGAATGGTACTTTAATGTACTTTTTGCCCGATCTTGATATTTGTTTTTGATAACATTGCTTTAAAAAATTGTAAGAACATAAAAATATTTTTTAAAGTTGAAAATTGTCTTAATGTGGCCAGAAAAGGTACAATACATCTACCCTATTAATTATTATTGCATTTAACCATTTAGATAATTATTGATAATATGTCTATTGTTTTAGATAGATCTGCAGAAATCCGGGCAAAATCTTAATTAAAAAAAATGAATAATTTGCTATATCCTAAGTTTGAATTACTGTTTTGTTTTACGAATATATGACAGCATGTAGCTTGGACAACGTAATCAATCAGCGCGTGTTGTTATGGTCCGTCGTGTGGATCCATCTTGCGAGAGAAAATATTTTCATTTGGACACAACACTTCAATGGCATTTCCCCCATTTGACTAGGCTGTTTTTATTGTAGGCTGTGACCGTATTTACTCGCATATAAAAGACTTCGCATATAAAAGACTTCGCATATAGGACAAAGTGTAAGTTTAAAAATCAAAATAAAGAAAATTAGATTTATTAATACAATTCTAATTTATTTCGTTTAATCACAAGTAAAATATCAAATGCACATAAATGCACACATTGTCCCGCAAAAATTACTGGCATTTTAAACTTTCAGGAAAAATCTTGTAAAATCGACAAGATAATTTGTTCATGTAAAGCCGGACAATCGGGAACCTTTTTTGCCAATTCTTAACAGTCGGATTCACTCTCCGTCGATTACACTTACGAGTTTTTCCGAATTCTGATTTCTAAATAATCGTCCGTTTTCACGCGGAAATGGATTAAAACTTATATCGTGCATCCGTGTGATTTTAGAATTTCAATCTGGAATTCAATTCAAAAGCTTTGCTTTCCCTATTGATATTCATCTTTACTCCAGACAATATACATTCAAAAGGCCCAGATAAAATACTTATGTTTTTAAATATAACAGGGTAAAAAAGAAAAAATGCTAATACAGGGTTCACAAAAATTTTTTGCAAAAACGCAAAGAATATTTCGCGCGTATAGAACGACATAAAACTTTGAATAAAAACCTTATCATATATGCGAGTAAATACGGTAAGTATCTGGTTTCACACATCTAATTATTAATTTCCCACTACATCAGTTTACGAACTGTGAAAATCATACGAAATTACCTGTTTCTTCATTGAAACTTCATTCAATATTTAGTGACTTTTAACTATTCACTTACAACGTAACTTTGAAGTGTGTACAATAGCAAAAAATAAAAAAGACAAAAGAAAAATTGTGTTATACAAAAATTTAAAACTCAGAATATGAAAACAAAGTTTAATCAATACCAATAAAATAATTTATGACGTTAGAAAAACGAAATAATCTAATAAACTTAATCTTTGCTGTTATTTTTTGCCCGGCCAACGACGGGTGTAACGAGCTTTTTATATTATAAATCTCAATTTTGAGTTTTATTCAATTTAGTGTTTTTTGGCTTTAAAACAACAAAAGAACCTTTCCTCTGCACTCGTTCCGATTTAGCCAATTCATAATAGATACAACCGAGAAAAGGAAAAAGAAATAAAACATATTTTCGACTTATTGCACATAATGTTTGATTCCAGATTCCCAGAGCTTGGGTTGTAGGTTTAAGCACTCTGCAAATCGATCCTCTTAATATTATCTTAATATCAATCTTATATCCGTGAAAACCAGCAATCTTACAATGCCTTCATCTACTCTTTACTGCCGTTCTCCACGATAAAGATGGAAAATGATATATTACAACTCGGTTGGCAGTTATTTATACTTAATTTCACGACTTACTTATAAACTTTTAATTTGTAAAGTATTGTAACTGAAATAAGTCCGTATTTAATAAACAATAATAGCCGTAAAGATTAGAAAGTGAGTAGCACAAATATCTAAAGTTTCAAAAAACGTTATAACCATTGTCTACGCAACACAAATTACAAACATAAATAATTTATAATTGAAATTAGTAATATTTTCTATTTCACGTGTTCTAACCTTCTATCAATATTAGACGTTGCTTCGTCCATGACGAGAATTTTATTCCGGCGAAGAATGGTTCTGGCCAGACAAATTAATTGTCTTTCTCCCACGCTGAAATTTCTCCCTCCTTCCGTTAAATGCGTATCCAACCCTCCAGGTAATTTACTAATAACTTCTTTTAACTGTACCTTTAATCCAAATACACAATAATTTAGTTTAATAGTTAAAAGAATTAGAAAGAAAATCAGGGAGGGAAATTGAAATATTTATTTAATTCTAACCTCTTCTATGACTTTCCACAGCATTTCTTCCGAATATTCATTGAAAGGGTCGATGTTTCTTCGAAGAGGACCGGTAAACAACACCGGATCCTGTAAAATTTTGCCGTATTAATCGTTTCTTTTTACAATAATTTTTTTTAAAGTAAATATTATATGAAGAAAAACATATTTGTAGTGAAAAGATATAAATATTAACTAGAACTTATGTTGACGAAATTAGTGTTTATTTACTTGAGGGATAATGGATATTTTACTACGAAGATCCCGAAGACCGATTTCCTTTGTGTTGACTCCATCGATGGTGATTGTTCCCGTTGGCTCCGTCATGCGAAATAACGAAGCAATTATAGAACTCTTTCCAGCTCCTGTTCTCCCGACAATTCCTATCTACAATTAATAAACAATAGAAACTATTTTACGCAGTAATTACTAACAACATTCTCCTGATTTGCAGACGTCTTACCTTTTCTCCAGAGCCAATACTAAAAGTCAAATTCTTTAAAACGATGTTTTTATCCTCGGAGTATTGTAAAGAAACATTATCGAAATGAATTTCTCCTGTTTGGGGCCAGTTCGAAGGTGGTCGTTTTTCGGGCAAACTTTCGTACGAAGCTTCCGATTTCAAATTGCTGTATTTCAGAATACGTTTTACCGAGTTCATCTGAAAAATTTACGTTTTACGAAGTAACAGAAAGCATGAAATTTGTTGACGTAATAACGTTATCCGAAATTATATATTATGACGAGATTATATTGTGTTGAACTTCACTGAAACTAATGATTGAAATATTTTATATGAAAAAGTGTGGGAAACATCGTTAGCATTTACTTCTTCTTTAATTCAAAATTAATTTCCATTCTCAAACCGTTATTACAAAATTTTTATGTACTGATATACACTTAAAATTCACTCTCTGTTTGTTAAAATTTGTATGAATTAAATTAAAATTGTATAAATTTTCAAAAGTGGAACATTTTTTCATTGTTATTTTGTTACTTTCCTTAAAATGTAAACTTTCCCTTTAATATATTATATATAAAACAAGTAAAATTAAAAACTATCAAATATATTTGTACTTGTTTTATTTATTTGTCGAAACCGTGTCTTTTTGTGAACAAGTGCAAACAAATGTGTTTGCATTTGTTTGCCAAATTTCTTAAATTTTGCGTTGTCAATAAATTTTTAAAAGTAATTATAAAATAATTGAACAGTCAAGACTGAATATTGTTTGTATGTAATAATTTCAGTTTAGTATCTAAAAAATCCATTTTTATGCGCCTCCTGTTTGGGTTTTTGAAGTATTAAACCCAAAGAGAATGCACACAAAAATGAATTTATCACAACAACATTCTTGGAGCAATACGCATTTTGATAACTTGTGGCATTGTATGATGTTTTGGGTATGTGTTAGAAACGTTTAACACTTGTAAAGTTGACGACAACTACTATCATGATGTAGTAGCCTATTGTTTTGAATGTTGGTATTTTTATCGTTTTATTATTATTTTAGTTATATTGTTTAGTTTATAGATGTTTGTATGAGTCTTGTAACGTGATTAATGTTTTATAATACCTTGTATATAATATGATAAGGGCTATTTCACATCAAAGGGCGAAATGCATTGCATTTTGTAAATAAGGCAACAATGGTTTCAATTGTGTGTTAAACATAACAATTAATTATTAAGTGATTGATTACTGACTTTTTAAAACAAATAATATCAGAATTATCAAACAAACACCCGGATTACTTTATTGGGCTTTATTCAATTTATATATGTTGGAGAAAATTGTAAGAAAACGTGTGCTGCATTGTGATAAGAAGATTCTCTTTTCCAAAGAGTTTACCTTGTTCGAAAAGTTGGACATCGTCCGATAAAGCAATTGGCTGTTCGTTTGATATTTAGATTAACTATCGAGTTGGTTAGATATGTAATACCTGAAATTCCATTTCAGATGCAAATGAAGTAATATGTTGAAAATACAAAGTTGTTATTATTCCGTAATTCAATATAAGTCCAATTTTGCTTCCTGCGTCATCTAAAACCACAAGTATGTATTCAATATTATTTCTATTATAGACTGTAGACATTTAAATATATTCACCTACCTGCATTATTTGAAACACCGAAAATAATAACAGTAATAATAAGATTTACGATACAAATCATATGACCGTATATGGAAAGCCATCGGTTTAACGCCACGTAAAAGAACCACACTGCGGTGTGCTTATCCTGATACTTATTAAACATAGATTTAAATTTGCTTTCAGCATTAAACGCTCTAATTGTTGTAAGTCCGTAAAGAGATACACTCAGATGTGAAAATACTGGACTTTTCACTGTCAAAATAAATTTGTATTACTTTATTACAATTCAATTATCTTACCTTTTAAATAAAACAATTATTATCTTGTTACATTTAAGAAAACACCACAAAATATGTACCTATATTTAACAAACTACTAATCAGAAATGCATGGAACTTAAAATGCAAGCAGAACATTGTACTTAGTATTTATGCAAAAGAACAACTGAAAAAAAGACATTTCTTTAAATTAGTAACCAGTCGCATGACTTTCCTATTGAAAGATCATTATTTTCATGAAACGTTCACACACTTCAGCACAAAGTTACAATTGTTGAAGCACCGTGTCTTATGTGATTTTATTTAAAATTTTTTTATATTATTAATTGTTATAAAATGGCGAAATGCTTAATTTTCAGAGTAGAAATAAGTATTTAAAAAAATTGTGAATGCTAATAACCATCAAAATTTGCATTAAGTTGTCCCCACTCGAGATATGACATACGACCCAGTTAACTACCTACCCTTTCACCACCAAAATATAATAGCATCAATCTCCTGTGTATAACTTACCTTACAAAATTTTGTTTTTTAAATTGTACCTGATTCTGAGAATTTATACGACCGGTCAAATTTTCAAGGTACTTGCTGCCTTAATCATTTTTTGATCGAAAAACATGAAGAATGCAGTAATTTCGACTTGCTGTAGTACTTTACAATCGGATCTGTACAGTAGACCCCCTATAACGCGTAGATACGTTCCACGTTATACGAATTTTACGTTGTAGGAATCCTTAAATACATGAACCAATCGCAGCCTGACACGTGTGAAGTTTACGGACTACGGCTGTTTGAAAGGTTTTCTTCCATAAAATTAATCAATTCTAGAGTAATTCGACTCAACACTTCCAAAACACGTATATTTTTTTGAGAATAAGCCGTATAAACTATGCTATAAACAAAAAATTGTAGGATTACTTACCGAGTGTGCACCGTTTGACGTCGCCATTGCTTAAGCTTGTTTTCGTCGCGGAGCAGCGACCCAAACGGCGACCGCGATTTCTGATAAGTTTTCTGCGAAAAATTCGTTGAACTTTGGACACATCATTAATAGAAATAATTTTAATAGGCGTTGAAAAAGAAATGTTTCTTTCACAAGAAATGTATAAAATTACAGTACTGTATTAGTCTTACGGTACCTAATTTACATACTATACAAACGATAGTAAACTCAACTAACCCGCCTAAACTCTCCGTAGCTGGCGCTAGACGGCGGAAAGTATATATATAATTGTGAGGATCCGAATTCGGACTTTTCATGTGTTTATATCATACCACATTGTAGCTATACTTTCATTTGATAACTGTCAACTTTTACACCTGGGAGCTAAACATCTGCTAAGTTCTCAGGCTTAATAACGACGCTTTCTCAGCACCTTTCGACCTAATATCTCCGTTTCAACAATCCAACATGAAAAACAAACAACAAAGTGAGACAGTCGTCACCAGTTCCTCGATCGGACCACTCGAGTTTTCCCTGTGCCTCGCCTTTGGATATTTCTTCGCCTAATAACTGTGGAAATAAAAACTGTCTTCAGTCTTCTGAGTCCAGAACTGTCTTCTTTTGGGATTTCATACAAGGTAATTATCGACACGCGAACTTCTGTAAACTCTCTCTCTCCGGGTCATATCTTTATATCTAATACTTATGAAATCGAGAAATGTATCTAACAGCAGCCCTAATGTATAGCCTATCGTTAACCATTAAACAGTTGTTACGTTACAGCGTCTCTGAGTAAGTCACTTCCGGCGCGCTGTCTCTCCTTCCATCCCGACTTTGTTCGCTCACACACGCGACCGCTCACGCCCGAACGAAACGGTTTCTGTGTTTAGCCGTGAAGACACAGTGGTGTCAGTCCTGACGAAACTTGTCATTGCGATCTTCACCGACGCGATGTCAACTCTTCGGTCACGGGGTGCCGAAGAATAGGGAGGCTTTTCGGCATTGTCACATAATTATAATAAAGTTACAATAAATTAAGTTAAATTAATATGTAATTATATGTACAGTACCTAATTTATATATAATACTGTACAGACGATAGTAAACTCAATTTATCCGCCTAAACTCTCTGTAGCGTGGCACTGGATGGCGGAAAGTAGTTCAGCTGCTCTTCCACTATTGGTCCAGATTCGACCAATCCTGTCGCGACACGAGTCGGCGACGACGTTTTACGAGTCCCTTTTAGCGTCTTTATACGAATACTGTCGCAATTTTTTCGCCACGTTATAGGAATCTCCGTTATAGGAACCTGCGTTATAGGGGGGTCTACTGTAGTTTTATGCACAACCTGTAGCTTAGCTTCTGTTTTTAGAAATGGAGAAATTCATAAATGCAACAATAAACAGTCCTTGCTCGTTCATGCATAAAAGTAAGCATTGCATGAAGCTGACAGTTCTTTTTAGTATTGTCCTGTATCGCTTATTAGGAGACACTTGTTTACTTCCCACTTTTGGACAACTTATTTTTTAAATAAGTTGTCCAAAAGTGGGAAGTCAACAAGTGTCTCCTAATAAGTGATACAGGACAATTTGGACAACTTATTTTTCAATTAATAAGTTGTCCAAACTTAACTTTATTAATTTAATTTTCTATTCATTCATAATATTTTGAAAAAATTACTGTTTGTGGCAAATTCGCATTTTCGCATACCTTTAGTTTACAAAGCAATTTCTCTCTACAATGCTGTGATGCGCTGCTTGTAAGGTTTCATTTTCTTTCTTAAAATCAAATGTTTGCAGAAATTGTCAAGTGGATTTGCATTCAATGTTCGATTTCAATACTTTAAACAATATTTTAAGCATTACATAAATTTACTGTATGCCTAATTGGTTAAACTGTCCTTCCCTAAGAAGCGATTTAATTTCGAGCTGTCTTGAAACAGAATATTTGTTTTATAGAACTATGTCGTCTGTCATTTGGAAAATTAGACTTATGTGCATATTTTTCTAAGAAATCATTACATCTGAACTTGCAGAAATACTCGTAACTTGTTATAATATTTTCTGTAAATAAATTAACGTTATTTATTTGAATCAAGAGTAATCCACTATTTTATGCCTGGTCGTTTTAATTTGGAGGATAAATTTCTGAATTATATACAGTATGTACTGGTACATTAAGGTATATTTTAAAATTAACTTTAAGTAAGTACACAGATTATAACTTACAATTTATTCAATTATTTCGTAAAATTTTTCGCAAATAGATTAAAATCGTAATTGTAATATAACTTGTTTTCTTTCTTGATATAATTACTGTAATATATCAAGAACGGCAGTTGAGTAATAACGAATATAAAATACTGGATTTAACAGTCACCAAGAAATAAAGTTCTGACACGAGTAAAACCTTTTCCTTATGCAGAAAATTAATACATCTTTTTTCATACGAGTTTTAAAAAATTGTTTAACTTATGAAATAAACTAACTGTTTTGATTAGTTTGCATTGTAACTCGGCATCTTGGAATGAAGAGTTCACCCCTGTTCGCAAATTTCATCACCAATATTCTGCACGCAATTAAGTTCAATACAGTAAACTCTTCTATATTCGAAATACTTACATTTTCCTTCCAAATGTTTTACGCTTTTCAACACTCTGCTAAAGATGGTCCACAAAGCAAAGAATACTACTAAAAGGACAGCAATCAATATCAGTAGATAAGGACAGAGGATTGCTTGAAGAATACATATACCGTAAACAAGAAAACATCCCTAAAATTAAAGAATATAAATTGCTAATAAAGTTAAAATTTAGATTTATAAGTAAACTGATTCTACCATTCATTTAAAAGTGACATCTCTTTGTTACGTAATACATACAGGTGTCTCATAGGACTGGAATCATAGTTTTTATGTACATATCTGTTTTTTAGCACTGGCATAGAGATTAATAAAAAAATTAATTTCAATAATTTTTATGGTAAAGATTCGCCATCAGTGAGATGTTGGAAAATTGTTTTGTTTTCTTATATTTTTTGAGGTGTGTATGTTATTTTTTAAGAAATTTTTCCTGTATTTTGTAACAATAAATAAAGAAATTAAGAGTGTGACTAGCTGTATCCAGACCAGAGTATCTTTATTTAAAGGCCTAGCCTAGACACAATGCGCTAAATCTTCAACAACTCACTCATTGCGAGTTTTGGCGATGAAAATTATTCTAAAATCTGAATAATAATTAGTTTTTTCTTGTTAGTCTCCATGTTCTTTCTGAAAGAATAGACAATGATCAATATAATTCCTATGGTGCCAGACTCACGATAGATCCTATGTTGTATTTCTTTTACGAAATATATGAGTCGATCTGTTATGAGTGTGTTCTGAAGTGAGTTCGAAAAAAATGAATTTACTTCTCATCTTATTTATTAAATTACATAAATCTGTTAAGAAAACTCTTTTGCAAAAGTGTATATTCAGTAGAGCATCGATTATCCGACGCCCGATTAACCGTCACATCGGTTAACCGACCATTCTAGTCGGCAAATTTCAAATGTCCGCTAGTGATGTAGCACTACAATATTTGGCTATGTCTTGGCTACTTTAATATTATTTTTGTTAAATTTTTGCGTGTTTTAGCTGGCAACACGGCTCGACCATTGAAGGGAGGCAGTATTTGAACAAGACTTAATTTTCTATAAATTGTGGTTTGTTTTGTGAGCAATAAAATAATTTAAAAATAATTTTTAACGATACAATAGCGACGATTATTATTTTAAAAAATTTTTGTTAGGCTTAACATCGATGAAAATTCAACGCGAAGTTTGTTAATAGCGATATACTAATATACAAATTACACGGGATATACTAATATACTATACTAATAATGTATTTTTTTTCATTTTTTTTCGGTTATCCGATTTTTTTAATTATCCGACCAACCTGAGTCCTCAATTGAGTCGGATAATCGATGCTCTACTGTACAATAAATCTCTGTTAAGTACTAATAGGATGAAGTTTTGTTTTTACGAAAGTGCAAGTTTGCGTGGTGTTCGGACAACGCGAAAATCAAAAATGTTAATATAGAATGGACTTATTTTTACCGTCAGATGTACACAGAAATTTTACTGAGATGAAATCAGAACTTATTGTATATAGGAAATATTATATAGGGGTATTATATAATACTATATAATTTATTATATAGGAAATGAGCTCAAAAGATATTACGACAGTAGAATGTACAGTAACCTAATGCACGTTATCTCAAAAGAAAACACTCGATAATTGTAATTTTTCTATTTTCAAGTAATTGAAAATTAGTTTTTAAGAATTTGTTCGAATTACGTTGCGTGGTTTTACTATTTTCAGATTTTCATTTTATGGTCGTAACAAATATTTTATTTTTAAAAATTCCGAAACTTAAATTATTTTTCTACCTATCTCGCCCTATAGAATCTATCGGACCTTCAATTAAGTCCATTTCAGAAAATTTCTGGAACTTTTCGTCTTTACCATATTTGCTCCCGAGTTCCCAGAAGATGTCGGGTTGACACATTAATCGCTCTTCCACTTGGCTGTTTGTCAAATATCCAAACGAAAATATAAGATTTTAACTATTTTTATAATCACTCTCCCAAATAAGAGGAATGTTTGGTTGTTGTGATACGTTTGCTCAGCACATAGTTTATGTAGCACCGATCAGGTTAAGACATGCATGCCCTATAGATGGAACCTACAATTGTACTACGTAAGCGAACTGCCGCTGTCTTCGGTTCCGTTGTGCGCGTGAAGTGACAGTCGCAACGTGTTTGTTTCCATTAAAATGTAGGCCAAGTTAAAGTGCGAACGTTCGTTCGAGTTTGTCATGCAAATATAGAAGACTTCACAGAAATTCGTCGAAAGTGAACGAACAAAGAAGTTGAAAAAACAGTGAAAATGTTGAACGACAATGGAAGATCTCACACCTGAAAACAAACGATGGCTCGCGTTCAGATATGCTTAGAAGAGATTTTTGTTTACCTACCCTAAAGTCGGGTCTTGTTCTTACCAGTGTTGCTGTTCCTAGTACATTTGTACTTTTCTGGTACATTTTGCCCTTTCCAGTAAATTGAAAGTACATTTAGATTTTTAGTACATTTTCAGTACATTAGAATATTTCAAGTACCATTTACGGTACAAATTAATATTTCACGCCTTAATGAAAAAATGAGAAAAAATTAGTTTAATAAAGTCTCACTAGTGTCACTGCTTGTTAATTTAAATTATCCAATCACAACATACAAATGGTGTGTGTCCGTCGACGTCAGCAACATAGATAATTGCACGTGTAAAAGGTCTTGACTCATAAGTCAGTGGTCTTCTTTCATACGTTCAGTTGTCTGCACATTTTCATCAGGACCTTGACAAAATTTTTCATGCCACGTGGTCCAAACAATTCAACTCCGTCAAACAAAAATAATGGACAGGTAAGGAAATCAATGATTTTTAAACTTTTGTCGTCAATAATATCAAAATATCCGTTAAGTCAGAAACAGATTATTACAGAAAATAGTTTTGAAATTGCACGAGTATAAATAACATAAATACTTTTATATTATTTTCTACCACTATAATTTAAGAATTAAATTACTGTATGAACCTCAATTTTAGTAATCGTAGTAAAAGAAATAAGGGTTAATGTTACGTATGGTTCCAAAATGGCCGCGCTTCCGACTGTTCCAAGGTCTATATAAGAAGGCCAGGACACGCGTGATCTACGTCTTGAGCTGCCATTTTGGGTTTTTTTTGAGTTGCATGTTTTAAGCAAACTTGTACGAGCAGTCAGTTTCATATGACATTAATTAAACTAAAATTGCACAAATCCTGTAATTTACAGTCAAAAATATAATAATAATTTCGGATGATTACGCAACCCCAATTTTATGTAACGTTTTCATGAAATAGTTTAAAAGAAACAAGCATCCATATCTTTTTCTGTCATGATTGAAATTAATTAAACAGTTACTAAAACTGATGCAATTACGTATATACCACTTCGTAAAGTGATGCAATAACATCAAAATAATTTAAGGTATAATAAAGAATAAAATAATATAATATAACAAATTTATAATTAATTTTTTAAAGCGCGATTGGTTATAAAATTAAGATGAAATTCAATAGTATTATTAATAAATGTTGTCAATGTAATGCTCATTTTATAATAAGCAATAGATGTGTAGATATATTTTTAATTTTAAATAGCTTTCAAAAAATTCCAAAAATAAGATTTAAAATTAAATTATTTGACAATAAACTATATATATATATATATATAGGCACGTAAACAAAATATTCATAGAACTAGTACATTTTGAAGGAAAATAGTACATTTTTGAAGGCGCTTCAGTACGTTTTGAAATTTTATTGCGGCAACACTGGTTCTTACCGATTTGCATTTGTTTGTACTATTGCAATGTCAGTGGATGGATGAAAGATTTGATAACACTGACGAAGTTCAGAAAAATGTAAGGCAAAACTTTACAAAAGTGGCATACTCTTTTTTTCAAGAAGATACAAAAATATTTTTCATTTAAGCTGCAAAATGAAAGGATAATTACTAGTGTTGCAACGAATAGTATATTCGGCCTCACGCCTAATACCGAATATTCTGCCAGGAGCGTGGCCGAAAAGCCGAATATTGGGCCAAACTATTCGGCTTGATTAACGCAAGTACGAAAATTGGCGTGCAAACCGCACTATGGCAAGGCCCCGCTCTCTATTGGCCCACTGTCACTACGCTTCGCCAATCGCGTTAATTCTTGACAGTTGTAGCGGACAGACACGAGTGTCATGGCGGTATGTGATAAATGATGATATCAAATGTGGATAACAACGAAATGACCTACACGTGTAAATAACGGAAAAAGAACAGAGAAGGACCGCGAAAATGTGAAAATGTTGAAACATATATGAAATTGAGTCGATAACGTAATCGAACGAGTCGAGGCAGCTTATTGGCGCGAAATTCACGGCCGTAAATGGCAAACAATTGTTGCCATAGACTTCGGAAAGCCAAATGCATGTAACGAAAGTCACTTAGCGTGCACGGGAGAAAGCCTGGGGCCGTTTGGGCTACCGAACTGTCTCGAATCTGTGAAATCGTAACTGCGACTTATCCCGACGTCCTATTTGTCTCTTTTCTTCGTTATAGGCTATGAGTCACGTAATTGTAAAATATGAAATCTATGACGAAAAAGTGACGAATCGAAAGTATCGCGTGAGCGTATTATGATGTATGTATACGTAGACTAGAGCGATAGAGAAAAGAAAAAGGGAAGAGCAAAGACGAGCGCTTAAAAAGAAGGATAGGCAGGGCTTGACCCTCGGATGTGCGACGATTTTCGAACGAATAGATGTGCTGATTTTTGTAATTATAAATTGGGAATACCTGTGACTAATATCATATTCTTTTTTATTTTGTGCTTGTTATAAGTTATAAATAAATATAAACAAACAACACTAACCGGATAACATTAAATCTATATACCAAAATGATTAATTTACTGTGTTTTTGTTATTTTTTACTCCTGTTTTTTAGGTATTCAGTATTCGGCCGAATAGACCGAATATTGAATAGTAACCAAATATTCGTTACATCACTAATAATTACACAAAAACGAGATAAGATCTGCAATGACGTACAATGCGAAGACGTGGAGCCCGGGTAAAGAGGATTGAGACAGCGGAAATAACAACATTGAGATGGATGTTGTGGTGTGACAAAGAACAGAATTAAAAATAATCATATCAAAGAAACAGTCATAATGAATACTATAATTAAGATGCAGGAAAAAGAAAAAACCACAAGGGCTTGGTCATCACTGACAAAAGTACCTTTAACACTGGCGGTGTTTATGATGACAATTAGATTGCAGTGCTTTTTTTCACTTCTTGTATGTTATATTTGTGTAAACAAAACCGCGTGTCTGTGATTCAAAAAAATGCTTTTGTAACTGGTCATTCCACTTAAATATTTATTATTTTCGCTAAACTATAATATATAGTGTCTCATTAGTCTGAAACCGTAGGGGTTATGTTTATCTTTGTTTATTCTTTTAAAGGTAAAGCATGGCTCTGTGTAAGGAGGAACAAATTGAAATTATTTTGATGGTATGACATCTGGTAAGTTCTTTTTTTGTTTTTATATTATATTTTATTATTTTTGAAACTCTTTTGGGGTCCTCGAGACCCATTGGAGGAGGAGGAGGAAGTCATGACTCATATTTAATCAAACTAAGGATATAGAAAAAATTTCAGGAGCAAAAACCATGAGTTTTTTTAAATCATTGTTACATCTCACATTTGAAACTTATATTGAAATTTCGTGATAAAACTTATGAAACTGCATTATCTCACTTGAACACATCCACCGAAACGAACAAACAAACTCTGGAAAAAGTCGCTTCCCAGTTTCCATTTTTATTAGACCAACTTTTCAATTTTTCATAAATGAGATTCGAAGAAATTCGTAATATTGGGGTTATTATATTTAGATTTCGACATGGTTACTAAAGATAGAGAGGCCCATCAGTATGGCCGAGTGGATAAAATAGCTAAACAAATGGCTGGAAGTCGTGGGTTCGCAGCTGGTCAATAGATTTGCCACGTAGGTTTTTCACGTGTATTAGAGAAAATTTTCCATAGAATGCCCTCCCATGATAGATTGCTCGTGTCTTGCCAACCAACCAACTTAAAGTATGGTGATCATACTCATTATACCAAAAAAGTTAGAGTAATAATAAATGTAAAAACAAATACTTTAACTGGTAATACTGTGTAGACATTATAAGCCACTTTGTTATGTAGTTTTTACTTTTTGTTGAATAAATATTAATTTCTTTTTAAAAAAGGAACCAATAAACAGAGATATTTATAGCAGAATTAAACTAATTAAACAAATAACAAGCATAAGAAAACAAATATTTTTCTATCCTCCGATATAACATCAATATTAGCTCTTGAATTTCTTCCTTCCAAACACGGATTTATTCATTATTTACTTATATTCATATAGGTTTTTTCCAACAATTGTACATCCAAACTACATAAAAATTATTTTGTAAGTTGTCAAAAACTATTTTTTATGTAATAATAATAAATAAACACCTTATATATTTATATATTTTCCAATATCCTAATGGTTTTTCTGAATCCCTGAAATCTTCAAGACATTTTACTTCTCTTTTCAAAGATATACAATACACAAATGCAATGAACCTGTCAGATTTATTGTATTTGTGTATTTATTATGTAAGCAATCAACAGCTAAGAAAATCACCATCAGCTTTTGAACACTTTGGATGCCTTCGTAAGTTAAGCTTTGAATTTGTGAAGTCAAAGTTGGATTCCAGATAGCCAATAGTTTTAGTAATAATGATAATATTATTCTTTTTAACTTGGCTTGCTCTTTTCTGGTGAAATTCCAAAAAAATGAGTCATTAGGGGACATTCTTTATGATCCGGACTTTAAAAGTATGATTTTATGGCAAGCCAGCACTTTGATCTTTTCTATAGTGTACAACAGGGGTGAGCAACATTTTTAATCAACGGGCCAATTTAAATTTTAAAATTTTTTGGCGGGCCGCACATAAAATAACACTTATTAATAATTTACAAAACTTTATTTATAATAAACATTAGAATAAAATATATAATATTTAAAAAAGTGAAGATTTCATATACAAATTTAAATGCAAAATAAAAACAAACAAGAAAAGAACAGAAAAACGAATTTATTTGAAATTTTAATGAGAAATTTGGCACTGTTTTTTCGATACAAGCTGATCAATATCAGCCGGAATTGATGAGGTAGCTATACGTACGCAGCTTTCTAATCGTGCATCACTCAGTCTTGATCGGTGGTCATTTTTGATTAATTTCATGGTTGAAAATAATTGTTCGCAAACATACGTACTTCCGAACAGAGACATCATTTGCTTTGCATTTTTCGTCAAAAGCGGAAATTTCTCAGGGCTCACATAAGATTTATAGAAATTTTCGATGTTTACTGAGAAAAATACATTTTTTAAATCGGTATTATTCTGCATGTCAATCACTTCCATTTGAAAGTCTTCGGGAACTGTATCCACATCGATATTAAATGGCGAGGAAAACATTTTCATGGAAACCGCTGTCTTCTCAGCTTTCAACATTTGGAATCGTAATTGAAATTCGTTGATTAAAATGTCTATATATTGTGCGTATTTTTGAGAAGTAGTAACGTTTTCTTTTTCTAAATGTGGAAAGTGGGACACATTATTCTGCAAAAGATGCTGTTTCCACAATTTTAATTTGCGCGCAAAGCCCTGAATTTTATACAAATTGTGAATAAACTGTCCTTTGCCTTGAAGTTCCACATTAAGATCATTGAGATGCTGAGTCATGTCGATAAGAAATCCAAATTCGCACATCCATTCTTTATTACCAAAATGAGGAAAGGCATATCCCTTCATATCCAAGAACAATTGTATTTCGCTTTTTAAGTTGTATACTCTTTTTAGCATTGCACCTCTACTAAGCCAACGTACTTCGGTATTAAAAACCACGTCGCCATATTCAGTTTCCAAATCTTTCAGGAATTCTTTAAATTCACGATGATTTAACGCGCGCGACTTGATAAAATTGATTAGTTTAATTATTGGTACTGTGACATTTGGCAAACTCAATCTTTTCGCACACAAATTTTCCTGGTAAATTATGCAGTGGTTGACGAATATTTCTATTCCTGTGACCTTCTTAATGTCTTGAAATAGCCCTCCCGATATTCCTACCTCCATGCTTGATATTGCTCGTGCTCCATCTGTCGATACACCAATAATATTTTCTAATGAAATTGAAAAATTTTCCAACACAGACTTTAGTTCATCGTACAGGTCTTTGCCGGATGTAGTCCCTTGCATTGGAATCAGTGAACACAATTCTTCGGTAATATTAAAATTGGTGTCAATACCACGTAAAAATATAGCCAGTTGTGCTGTATCGCTAATATCGCAACTCTCATCAAGTGCCAAAGAACAGTATTCGAATTTTGCAATGCGTTCACGAAGCGTTGTTGCTATGTTCTCGGACAAGTCTTCAATTCTCCTTGCAATGGTGAATCTTGATAAACTAATGTTTGAAATAATATTTATTTTATCAGGAAATGCTATTTCTGCAACAGCAGTCAGACATTCTTTTATCATCTCTCCATCCGCAAAGGGTTTCATTTTTTTTGCCAGTATTTGACTGACAACAAAACTAGCCTTTACTGCCGTATTTGATAAAATAGCTTGATTTTTAAAAATAGCCTGTTGTTTTCCCAAGTTTTTCTCCATTTGATTAAACTTATCTATCCGGAGTTGTCCTGTTAAGTTTTTATATTGTTGTTCATGTTTTGTATCGTAATGCCTTTTTATGTTATATTCTTTTAATGTCGACACAGTCTCTGAGCATATTAAGCATACAGCTTTATCTTCGACGAAAGTGAAAAAATAATCAAATTTCCACTTTTCTTGGAAATGCCTGTGCTCATCCGCAACCTTCCGTTTTTTTGTTTGCTTTTCCGACATGCTATTATGGATTAAAAATTTGAAAGTTAAAAAAATTTGTAGGAAAACTTAATTTTGAATAAAAAAAACTCTAATATTACCTTTTTGACAATAATATTGCACTCACGCCTTTCAAGAAACACAAGAATTGCTAAAATTGCTAGTTAACAGCTTACCAGTCTGACTGATTGTGTGACAGAAGCAAACACAAACAAGCACAGACGCGGCGCGTTCGTATTGCATGTTTGAACAAGTCGCCGACAAGTGAGTAACTCGTCACAAAAAATTGTTTCGGTTTAGTATGTACTACCATTTTATTATAATTAATTTTATAACAATATATTGATGGAAGAAAGTCGATAAAATAAATTCAATTTTAAAAATGCTTGGCGGGCCGCATAAACATGTTTAACGGGCCGCGTGTTGCTCATCCCTGGTGTACAACGATAGTCATCTTGTAAGCGCATGTCTAAGAAGGTTATTTCCTTTCATTTTTGTAAAATAAATAATCTTATTGTGTGATTCTTCATGTTTCGAGGAAACTAAAAAGTGGACAAACAGTTTTATTATAAAATTCTCAATATTAAAATCACGACAGTTATCTGGCAGTTATATAGGGCATTTAATAGTGAAGAAATTTTCATGAATATCTGCTATCTTCATAAAACTCAAGAAGGAAATTTTAAATATCTGGTGTAGGAAAACAGTTGATCAATTATGCCTCTATGTCTTTAATACTATTTTAAATTATGATCGTCTACTAGAACTTTCGTATATTAATAGGACTTACTATACTGGTGTGATCACACCAGTATAGTAAGTTGTTTTAATATACGGAAGTACTAGTAGAAGATGATAGTTAAGGTAGAGAAAACAGTTTTTTCTACCGTAATTCGTTGCATCTCTTAGTATAATGTATAAAGTATTATCATTGCTAAGATCTAACACAATTATTTCTACACCGTAAAGGAGAAATATCAAAATTTCTCCTTTTGTTCGATCACAGAGCATCTTAGCCACTGCCATTGAATTGGGAAATTTAACTTTATTTAATTTCATAGAGCAATGTGATAATGGGTGTTGATTTGTATGGTATGCACGAGCTAGTTCAGCGGCTGCTCTTTTAGACTGAGCATTGATGCATTTTTTGGGAGAAAAATAGCTTTGATCAATTTAGAGGTACTTGCCTGTTTAATCCCGGATTTGTGACGTTCCGTCTCCATATGAGTTTCCCGCGTCCTTTCGCGACGTAACTATGTCGAGTGACCATGACCCGAGCTGTAGCCGATCCGAAATTCCTTTATTAACTTTTGACCTTGGTGAAAAGTGTGGATCCGGATGGAAGATGACAGTTCAAGTTAACGATGAAAAAGGTTTATTAAGAGACATAGAAGGATGAATTAATTAGAACCCGTTGCTAGGTTACCGTTTCACGGAGTTACAATCGAACATGAGTAACTTCAAAGTTGCCTAACAGATGTAATTCAGCTTCACGTGATGTTGACCCCCTTTGTAATCCATGTCTTCCGATCGAGAATAGTTAGTTGGTACTTGTTTCCCGGCACTTCTGTCTTCCAATTCTTTGCCCGAACATCTAATACTTCCTTTTATAATTATAGACTGGTCATTCAGTACTCTGTAAACTCTACTTTAAACTGTGATCCATCCATTTTTATGTTGGAGGGTCCAATTATTTGGAGGGCCGATCCATTTTACCCAATCTCCAATGACTTTATGTACTTCGGCTGATAACTAGTGGGGCTTCACACGGAAATACATCCTGTGTGTGGGTACTCAGACGGCAGTCGTTAATCGTAGTGATACCCTCTAATTGTAACTCTACTTTTTCCTCACCGTAGCGATGAAAGTCTCTGACGAGGTATCACACGTATGCTTTCACATCGCCTCTCCGCTTTACTCAATCTAAAATTCTTTTGTACATACATATTATACAGTATGCTATTTTTGACATTTATCTTTCTAATCCAGTTGCACGTACTTTCTTTCCATTTGCTATTAAAGTAACTTTATCTGTAGTGTCTAAGTCTGATCGGTATTACGATTGTTATCATTTTTATTTAAATCGGAAAACATGGCACAACTAACAAGACTCACAATGCCTACTAGTTTTTACTTAATTTTTATCTCCATATTTTACATTTAAAGATAGATTGCGTGTTGCGGCCAACATTTAATAGCAGTACAATGCTATTAAATTCAACAAACAGTGAAACGTAACAATAGATGGCGTATAAAACCAGGGTTGAAAGATTTTCCGATTCATCCTATTTTAAGACGTATTCATTTGACACCAAACCATCGTCGTTTTCAGCCTCTATTTTTTAATTTTAGAAGACACATTATGAATTATATATTTTCCTTTCATACAAAGAAAGGCATTTTCTTTGTAGAAATTTGGACAAAATTTGGTTCAATGTGTATTCAGGTCACACAATTCATCCTATTATGTGAACTAAGTGTTTCAATGACAAGTGAGTTCTATGTAGAATAATTCATCACACGATTTGCATTACGTTGATGAATAATTTTAAAATCTATGGCCAATAATTGAAATTTTAATTAAATGCAAATGATATATAATTAATACAAAACATAACTTCAAATTAATAATGACTTTAAATAATAAAATTTTCTATAAAGTACCTTTACCAAGCATTGTTTTTGGTATATAACTTCAAAATTATTTATTTAATAAATTATAAAAGAAAATTAGAATATTTTAATGAATAATTTTGTATTAAATTGAAAAATTTATATAATAATAAATTCCAAGAGATGAATAGAAATAAAATACAGTATAAATATTAAGATGTTTATTTCGAGAATTTCATATTTCTTAATGAAAAAATAAAATATATTAAAAATATTTATGTTTATTTTTCATTGTTCTACAACATCTATTTAATTTATTTTGTTTTGAATACAATACTTTTAAAACTTAGTTTTATTTGTTTTATAAACAGTTGATAACACGACAAAATAAGAAATCATATTAATTTTCTAATTTATTTATCTTATAAATTAATTTTTATATAATATCTAATTATAAAATATATTCTAATTAGGTATTTTAAAATTTTGCTCATGCATAAAGTGTTTATATATGAGAATGTAATTTATATCTAGAAGGTGACATTATTTTTCTGAATTCTTCTCACTATGAAAACCTCATAACAAGGATGGACATAAACTAGTGGCCCTATGCCATGACATAAAACATTCTCTTCCACCAAATAACGATAGGCACAAAAATATGAGGTCCAAAGCTATAGACTCGTAACGCCAGGCCCTATTTATAAGTGCAAATCTGCCCTACTCATATAACGTTTTAAATTATTAAAAGACAAAATAAATAATTTTTTTACTGAATATATCTGATGATATTCATGTCCGTTTGAACAAAGTATTGAAGCACTTAGTAGAAAAATTGCAATGTATATTTAGATAAATCATTTATTTAATTCAAAGAACGTCCAACACAGGAGAGTTTAATAAATGTAAACATTGAAACATTTTTGAAAATCAATAACAACATTTATTTTTAATAAAGTTTTTTATATTTTTCCCCCGCAAAGTTTATTTAATATTTTATAAAAATCTATATTTTCCTTCCTATTTACCAAAGCAACGAAGTCAATTTTCATGAAGTTTACTCCTGCTTCTAATTTTAATTGATATTTTGATCTTTTCCTCAATTGTCAACTTTGTTGATTTAATATCTTTGTACAAAATATTTGGATATTTATCTTAAAAATTATATTAAGAACTTTAATAATTGAACATTCGTTCAATTATCTGAATCTTTAACTTCGATACTATCGATAAAAATTTTGAAATTTTACACGTTTAATTAAAGAAAATTGTCTGAAAATATTTTTCAAATATTCGTAAATTCCTGTACAAGTAAAGATGTAATTACCTTCAATTAACTTTTCTAATTCGAGAACAGAAGAATGTTCGACACTTAAAATACCTTTCGACACGAGCTTTTCAAATATTAGTAACTTTTATTTAATTCTTCTAAGAATTTGTGCATCGTTAGCCCCAATTCAAATTTGACAATTTGTAAATTACTATAAATTTATTTACTCGAGACACGACACATGACCTCCTCTTAACCTTTAACCATCAAAGTTTAATAGCATCAATGCTCCTAATACCCAAACCTCCATACGAAGTTTTAGAAATTTTATACAGAAGAAGTGTTATTAAGCTTCAAAGTAAGTATGCAAAATATGCCCCCTAAACACTAATATACATACATATAGAAAAAAACCCCAAAGTTTTTTTTTTATATTTCTCGACGTTTTAAGGTTTCCTGAGTATAAAAATGTAAAAATCTTGGGTGTGGTAACTTTTAGACCGATTAACATACTTTTTCGCTGTTATAGGGGAGATCGGGGCAAGATCGGCATGTTAAGCTTTACTTAAATTTTGTGTAATAAATACTGCTGTAAACTGAAAAAAAAGCTTTGCATATTGTCTATTGGAATGTTACCTTACTATAGAACTGGTTAAAATCAGTTTGGAAATAAAAATAATTAAAATAATTACAA